CCCCCCCCCCCCGCCTCCTTATGTGAAGGAAGGCTGGCAAGACTGATGTTGGAAGAGGAATATAGGTACTTATGAATGGACCACGATTTATAATGTTGTTTCCTTTGGGATATTTTTCGGCTTCCTGAAAGTTTTCTTCACTCAGCAATTTGTGCAACCTTGAACTTGCGAAATTGTTTCCCGGCCTCCACTATAAGAGCACTTTACCTTGTATGTCTATTCTTTTAAAAAGAAAAAGAAAAACTTGGGATGTGGGGTTTGGCTCCCGAAATACGCGCCAGCCTTTATCATGCATCTCTTGTCATCTGTACATAAAACAGGACGACTTAATTGTTGCAAAAGCAAAATGACCTGCAATGTTATATATAGATTGTTCCTTTACAATCCGGAATATCCATCCCAAACCACAACGAAGGCCACGTTTCTTGCTTTATAGACTCGCTTCACCTTAAAAGTTTCACTCTATAAATGAATAAATAAATGCTGATGAGAACTACGACACCCTTTTACGACCCCAGCCTTGCAAAACAACATTCGAGCCTCCACACGTCCCCAAATAATATTCTCCTCTAATTATATTTTATTATTTTAAATGGGACCTGAACTGTCTGGAGAAACTTGAGGGCACCCGCTTGTGCCAGACCTTTGCAATGGATGGGTTATATGCCAAATTGCCCATAAGGACGCCTATAAAGTTGTCCTTTGGCTTCCCTTGCTTTGGATCAGGCAGAAATTCAACAGGTGAGGTTTCCTTCTCAGGACTCTGCAATGAGCCTCACTTCAAGGGCTCCATTATCTGCTGTCACACACTTATTAACACCGCAGAAGCCTTTTAGGGGCAAGTTGGGGGAAAGCGACTTTTGGATTGTCAATCCCAGAATCCCCAACAACAACAACAACAACATAACCCCTAGAAGCTGTAGTGGGGAAACCAGAATTTTCTGGGCACTACTACCTACTGTTCCTTCTCAAGTGAACTGTCTCACACTTATGTCCACTTTTTACTGACTTCACATCTTTCAACCTTTACTACTAGGTGACAAATATAGCTTCAGGTGGAATCGCCAAGTAGCAATAGCAAGTACATTTCTATTCTGCTTATCAGTGCACTTATGCACTCCCTAAGTGGTTTACAAAGTGACAGCCAATTGCCCTCAACAAGCTGGGCACTCATTTTAGCAACCTCAGAAGGATGCAAGGCTGAGTCGACCCTGAGCCCCTGGCTGGTATTGAGCTCACAACCTTATGGCTTGAGAATGAGTGGATGCAGTACAGGTGTTTAAATACTATGCCACCTGGGCTCCTGAAATACTGAGATTCAGTTAGAACAGGGGTAGGCAACCTAAGGCCTGGGGCCGATGTGCCCCCCCCC